CCCTCCCCTCCCCCCCCCGGATCCAGGAAGCACCGTGCTTCTGATCCACTTCCAGGTCTGCTGCCGAGCATGTCGGGGCCCACCCCCCATGCTTCTGTGGGATGCTCCATCTGCCCCGCATCACAGTGTTCACAAGCCGCCTGCTACCTTGAGGTATGTAGAAAAAACATTTAAAGCTGTGTCTATGGCCAAATCGCCAAATCTTTTTGAATCTCTCCAAATTGATTAGAAGGGTTCAGATTCAATTAAAAAAGATTAAAGGGTCCTCTGATTTGATTTGGATTCAGAGATTTGGCCACCAAATCAGGCCAAATCTCTGCCAAATTGAATCAGCGACGAAAGCGTCACACAGCCCTACTGTTTTGTTCCTTAGTTATTCACCTTGCTGAAGGAGTCAGGCTCCTAATAAGTGTAAGCTCCTTTATGCTGGAGAAACTGAGTCCATTCTAGGGAAACAGTACTGCTTTAAATATACCAACACTGTTGAAATGGTACAAATTTTGTGCCCAGACAAGTGCCAAGGAAAAGGAAAACAGGATTACATGGCAAATGCATGTTGACCAAAGCTGGCTGAAAAATAGTAAGCACTATTTTTGCCACAGTATATTTTGCAAAAAAAATCAAGTTATCTTATTTCAGTTAGAAAACACAAAAAGCCATTGTTTTGTTTTTCCAGTTTGGGATATTCTGCTCCCTGACTTATTTTTTTGTGCTTTTTTTAAATGAAAAAATTCCAAAAAGAAAGAAATTTATTTTTAAAAAGGTCATTTTTCACAGGAAAAGAAAACTTCAAATGAAAAAATTCAACCAGCTCTACTGCTGAATATAGGAAAGATATTAAAAAAAACAGAACTATGTTTGAGGGTTGGGAGAAAGGGATTTAAAATATTATAGAAATAGAATAGGTTTTCCATAGAGCTGGTTTAAAAATACTCTCACTTTTTACAAAACGTTGTGGAACTATTCCATAAGAAAGAGTATAAATGACAAAGACCAAAGCTTTCAGTATTCAATGGCACCAAAGCCTTTACAGACAATAGACTCTCTTCAGATTTTACACATCTCTTTTGGATTTCTAATGTATTTTAAAATGTTATGAGGCTTGTGCATAATTAATAGAAATTTTACCTAATGGGAAATTAATGAACCACAAAGGAGGAGGCTAATTACTGTAATTTAAGACTGGCAGGAAATCACACCCTGAGCAAATGGTAACGTAACATTTATACTTACCCATGTGCACTACATACATGCATGCGCACGCTTGCACATCATACATATCTAATGTGTACTGATAATGTGCATTTGATAAATGGTAGAAACTTCTGTTAAACTGTAGAACTGTGTGAATAAATTATAATGTATTGGGCATTTCTGCCCACCTCATTTTCCCCCCTGCCTTTAATTCAATTTCCAGTAGGACTGAATCAAGAACTTGCCATTTAAAATGAAAAATAAACAAGCAAAAGTCTATATTATAGACTTATTATTATATTACACTAATATCTTTCAAAAATGCAGTTTCCTATCATCAAAATGATGGTATAACAGATTATCTCCATCCTCTGGGGAAGCATCAGTGCACAAAGCAGCAACAACTGCTCTACTGATGGAGGGGGCAACACAACCAGCTTCCAGCTCTAGTGGTAGCTATTTTTGTGCCCCCACCACCTCAAAATAGTTCCCCCTTAGTTATGCTGCTCCCTTAAAGGAAGAATTTCCACACACAATTGCAGGTTTTTAAGTCTCAAACTGAGTAATAGCAAGCTCAGGACAAGCAGTAAGCTTACAATTTAATATCTGTACCGTGAAAACAAGACTACAGACAGATACTCAGGAAAGCCCCTTTACTACTAATGTAAGAGTTTAGTTTCTTGCCCCCTAGGCTTTGACACATCAGGCTTTACAGTTTTGATATTATGTATAGACAGAAAAAATAGATGACGTAAACTGAGTGAAGCTTTGCATATGTTTAAGTATAATTTTCTCTCCTCTCTGAAGCCTATCTCATTGTACTCCCCATAAGAGATTCATAGGTGAGGAGATAAGACAGAAAATAGCACCAGTAAATATGTTACCAATTCCAAAATGTCAGCATTATTTTTTTATATAAAGGATGTGGCTCGTGCAGACTATATGGTGCTATGTTGTAGCATAAAACTTTTATTTGTACCCACTGAGAAAAACCTACACAATTCACTTCTCGCATCACTGTGAGTAATGCAGCAATCCTCCTGCTGAGTCAGTATTTATAATGGCATGTATCTGCTACATAATTTGCAGGAATGGGACACATAGTAGTAAGCACTCATGGTAGTAAGCACTTACTACAGTACTACAGCTTGGTAATAAGTGTTTTTTATGACGTAAGATATTTTTCTTCTGCTGAATAACACAGTATAACATTTTAAAAGATTAGGTCTGAAAAATGTCACAAGCATTTCTGTTATAAATAACACATTTGACTATCACATGTTTGATTTTTTCCAGGGCTTTAAGTAGTAATGGCAGGGCTCATTGATCCAGCAAAGCTAGAATCTGTGAGAAGTTATCCTAAAATCCTGCTACAGGCAAAATATCCAATGGTTAGAACTCATTTAATCTGCCCCATTTAACCTGGTACAAAACTGGACTATCTCCAATGAAGGCAGCGGAGTGACTCCAGATGTCCATCAGGGTAACTGAAAGCAGAATTTGGCATAATGGGAATTTGGCCTCAGTTATAAGCATAGCTGGATCATGTCCCACAGAAACACCTTGGGTGAAAGCCTGACTACATTCAAGTCCATGGCAAAACTCCCACTGACTTTGATGGGGCCAGGATTTTACCCCTTTATGTATTAGTACAGTGAGTATTAACTTAAGCTTCAGGCACGGACATGTTCATAAAATAAATAACATGATGCACAAACTCTGAAAAAAGACTGCAGACAAAAATAGTGCATGGACAATGTTCTTTTAAATCATTTTTGTATAGTTTCTTTTAACATAAATGCAAGAAAAAACCCCAAAACAAATAAAAAATCTTACAAAATGCATAAGGAATTTCAGCCTATTCCATATTTAAAATAAACCTCCTTTAAAAGAACATTAAGGTTGTACATTGAAGTACTGCTTTATCAGAAAATGACAAAATTAAGGTTGCCTGCTCATCCCTAATTCTCTCCCCACACTTGTGCATCTGAGTTACAGTTCAGTTGTCTGTAAAACAATGCCATACCATTTTGTGGCAAGGGCCCTACCTCATTCAATGAGCAAGATGGATGGTGTCCAATGGAAATGGCAGCTGCTCCATATTACCTTTTATCTTCCTTACACAGTGTGCAGCTCCCTGCCTCATTTACTCCAAAACATCCAAAGACTAGACTGAATCTGGACTCTCTTCTTTCCTTGTAGGCTTTATCATAGCACTCTCTGCAGCTTACAGACACTAATGTGGTTTATCCTTGGACCATCACTATGAGGTGGCAAATTATTACTATTCCCATGATACAGAAGGTAAGCACAGAGATCAAAGGGACTGCCCAAGGTTCCAGAGGGACTCTCCGGCAAACCTGGGAATTCAACCTAGATCCCTTGAGACCCACTGTGTTGCCATAACCACAAAACCAGTTCCCCTTCCAGATAACTGCCGTCTTCACTAGATTCTGGGCATTCTTTGGACCACAGGCTAATTCCACAACAGTTCTGAGCTAAGGAGATAAATCCACAAGTGAATTGTGAGGGTATGTCCAGGTAATTGTGCCCCACTATATGAAGAAATAAAATCAGTGGGGCACTATGTTTTTTAAGCTTTTTGGGCCCGGGCAGACAAAGCCTTGGCCAGGATGATATAACTAGGGCTGGTCCTGCTTAGAGCAGGTGGTTGGACTAGATGACCTCCTGAGGTCCCTTCCAACCCTCATTTTCTGTGATTCTATGATTCTAAAATACAGCAGTAGCATGGGCAGGAGAAGGTGGGGACATTATGTTTCTGATGCCTCAGCCCCTGCCCTTCACCCTGCTAGTCATAACCCTATGCTACGCCTCAGCACAGATCCTTGGCTGCACATCCTCCACAGCCCACAAACACAGTCAGGCTCTGTTTATGATGCACTCAGAGGTGTGAATTCAGAACAAGTAAGCAAGCTGGTGCTAGCTTTAATCTACCTAGTGAGCATAACAATTGCAGTGAATACACAGCCACACTGACCTCAGAGCAAAGCTGAGCAAAGGTATCCCTAGCAGACATGTACAGCCCACGCTGAATCCCTTGCCAATGCATCTTCATGGCTCTTGTTATCTACCCTAGCTGGATTTAAACAAGCCTAGGTATCAGAACTGCAGCATAGGCAAATCCATTGTCTCAGACCGGGGGAAGCAGTCCTTAAAGGAGCTGCTGGGGTTCTGGCTGCTTCCCTGGACACCTTCACTGATCAGAAAGAGCCAGCACTGTCTGCTGGCTGCTCAGCTGTGATACAGTGGAACTGAGTACTCACATGAATTGCACCTTCTGATCTTCAACACATAACCAGTTTTCATTTGCCTGGCCAACAAAAGACATGCTTAAGGACTTTCCAAGTTTGGAAAAGCCATTAGGTGCATAAAACTGTGGAGGTATCTGGTGAGTTTGTCAACACTTGATAGAGTCCATTTGGGGAAAAGAGCCATGCTGAATGCCATGGAGCAAATCTAAACTTCATTTGTTATATATCCCAAGTCCCCATTGAAGCAATTGTGTTCACAAGATGGACTGGGGTGCTGATGCCATTCTCCCCCCACACCCTTGATACGTATATCTTACCTTCACTGAAGGCAAAATCATTAGTGATGTCAAAAGGCTGAATTTGGACCTCTGACAGCAAGAAGTCTATAGATTTCTGGTGATCGCTCAAGTATAGGTGGATGGTCTGCTGAGCCTGGCATACGTAGGACTTCCCTGCTGGGGTGACTAAGGCAGAAAGTTGGTGCGAGTTGGCTGTGTGCTTCCCAGCTGTTGACACAACACAAACATCAGTGGAACAGTCAGACCCAGGAATCTGGCATTTTGCAGTGCTTATCATAAATCTAGCCTCATTCAAATGTGCCTGGATTATGGGTTGGTGTTCACTTTCTCATCTGTTTTATTCAAACAGTAGCAATTCTTGGGGCTGCACTGTACCTTGGAACAGCACTTTATTATGAAAATTGTGCAGAGCAAGGAAAAGTTCCAGGTGCCATTGTGGGAACTCCCTGGTGAGCAAACTGAGTACAGCATTACATCAACCATTATGAGGTCAGAACACATGCTTTATTGGGTTGACAACCATAGAGGGAAAACTGAGATATGACTTCTCGTTCTTCCTATTAATTAAGTGATGTTCAGGGATCTGGGTTTTCTCTAATTAAAAAAAAATCCCCAATGTTTGGATTTAAAAAAAGGAACCCACTATCCACATTTTTCCATTATCAAAATTAATGTGTGTGTGTGTGTGTGTATTAGTGGTGTTTCATTTTAATCACAGAAAAATATGGATATTGGGGTTACTTTTTTAAATCCAAATATTGCGGATTTTTTATCAGAGAAAACCAGGATTCCTGGTGATGTTGGCAGTGCTGATGCATTGGCTTTTGTATAAAGCCCACTGAAGTCAATAAGAGCCTTTTGACTGACTTCCATGAGCTTTGGATCAGACCTATCCCTTGCACTCAGATAGCAGTGAGGGAGGCTGGGAAGATTAGCCTCTGTATTTGGATAAAAATAAAAGACACAACTTGAGATACTCAGTGCTGGGTAAAACCTACTGCTAATGCATTTCTTTGTGATAAAAAATGAACATTGTCCAAATAGAAATTATAAAGCAGAATTTTCTCATTAAGTCGAACATATTTGCAAAAGCAAAGACTGTGCATGATCAGCAGCATGGAATGATGAATAACTTCTGCTTTCTGATCATCTTCTGCCCTTGTGTTCATCATTAGGTTTCACATAGCAGGGAAACAGCAGTTTACATTTGCTCAGCATGTGAGGGTTAATGTGTGTGTGCAGAAGCGTGGAGTGGTGGCATGCAAAATAGTCACCACAGGGTGCAAAACTACTCCCAAGGTTGTGGGTGGTATGTCACAAACACAGCTGTGAGAGGCACACCAAGACCCTTTTAATGTAATGACTAAATGTAAAAAAGCACCAGTTCCCAAGCCAAAAGGACTCATTTCTGAGCAGAAATGGGAAAGAAGAAATTGGATTGTTTTCTCATGAGAATATTCTGGGAAATGTCATGGCTTTCTGGAAATCTGCCTAACAGTTATCAAGCCCCAGGAGTGAGGTAGGGGACAAACCTTTGGAAAAATAATGCCCCATCCTATCAAAAATGCAGTAGTGCTACTCACAAGCCTAAAAGTTAAGTATGTAAAGGAGTTAAAGCCTTGCATGGTGAACAATTGCATGTGTGTTCCTGTAAAACAAAAATGGTGCATTACACACCATTCCAGCTCAAGGGCTTGTGTCATAAACCCACCATTTACAAACACACCGTCTGCATCAACAGAAGAGGAGCATTGCAAAGTAGCCCCTTGAGGGGAAAAATCCACAAAAGATGTGAAGATTACAATTATTTTAAAATCAAAATGAAAAGGTGTTACAGCTGGGGTTTGGTGCTTGGGAAAAAAAATCTATTACCAGAAGATAAAATGATAAATAGGAAACAGAACTGGATATAAAAGATCTAAAATATTCACAGGTAGCAGTAATTATTAGTACAGGGGGAAAAAAAGAATTCCTCTGCATTTCAGATTATTAAGAAAATGGTGCAGAAACTCCCCCGGTAACATCTTACTGAGATGTTCATTGGACAAGAACAATAGGGAAAATGAGGGGGCAGAAAAAAAGATGCATCAAAACGGCATTAGAAAAGAGGAAGATGAGACACATAACAATGAAGTGGAAGGAGATTAAAAACTGTGGGTGGGTAGGTGGGTGTGTTAGAAAGGTAATAGCAATGCATCGCTTCTGATCCAAAATCAGGAAAGCAGAAAAACAGGCAAACCCTAGTTCTCAGTAAAGGGATTAGACCAAATCTTTTAAATAAACCTCACACACAGCCTAAGGAAATTAAGGCAAAAATAAAATAAAATAAAATAAAATGCCACTCAGGAATAAGGATATGCTACGTATCAGCCAGCCATACTCAGGAAAGAAGCACCTTCTGTAAGGCAAGCTGTAGCTTTAATAATGGATGGAGTGGGTGATGGGTGATGAAGCCCACAGGGTGACTCAGGCCCGAGACATCCCACTGGTGGGGCACGGGCTGGATTCACGCAGAAGGAAGGGGAAGGTAAGTAAGTATAGGGGACGAGACCTGAGCTTAGCAGAGAGAGGGGGCAGAATTCTGTGCACTGGGGACTGCAGGGGACTTAAACAACAGAATTAAATGTTTAGAAAAGGAATCCAAGGAGGCGATTGTCTTGCCTATGGGAAATGTGCCCATTTCCCTAGTTTTATCTACAGGCCTGTATGCATTTCATAGGCAGGGCCAGTGCCAATGTGCTTGAAAGAACCACCTATATTCCTAGCAGTACTTTCAATGACAGGATTTTAAAAAAAAAGCAATTGGATTTTAATAAGTAATTTCCTGGAGTTCCTCAGACAGCCCAATGTTTCCCATTTTCTCTAGAGTAGGTGACAAATCCTAATTACACACTGCATCAACTTATTCTAGGTTAACCTGCTCAGGAACTGTGAAGAAAAAGCCCAGTACTGCACTCTCTCTGGCACTTACGAGTGACGGCTTCTTTGAAGTAGGTTTTCTCACTGGTGTCATACACGAACTGGACCTTGTTCATTTTCCACAGAACCTCCTGCCCTCTGCTAGTGTTGTGTCCCTCCTGCCAAGACAGAGTGGGTGGGGGAAATAAAAAGTAGCTATTTCAACAAATGAGCTTTCCAGGCATCCACATGAACACCCCATTGGTGTGGAATGAGGTCTGTGCCTTGAGTGCTTGATTGTACAATGATCACATATCATTAATACACCTGCCATGCTGGGGTTGGCTTCTTGCCTCTTATGCATAGCTTCATAGACTGTAAGGGGCCAGAAGGGACCTTGGAAGATCATTGGGTCCAGCCCCCTGCACCAAGCAGGAAAGATAACTGGGGGTCAGGTGACCCCAGCAAAGTGACCATCCAGTCTCCTCTTGAAGATTTCCAGGGTAGGTGATTGTACCACCTCTGGAGGGAGCTTATTCCACAGTCTGGGCACCCTGACTGTGAAGAAGTTTTTCCTAATGTTGAGCCTGAATTGATCTCATATGGGTTTCCCGGTTGTTTCCCCTTCACCTCCCTGTCAAAAAGTACAGCCTTGTTTTGCTGAAATACGATCTCATTGGTTCATTACATGTATCTGTAATCATATCTAAAATCAAATCGTATCATGCAATCATAGCTATAAATGTATGTATATATATATATAATCAATTCATACCATACAATCAAACCATATAATGTGATAATAGCTATAAGCACTTATCTATAATCAAATCATATCATGTAATTGTATCCATAAGCACATATCAATAATAAAATTGAATCATATAATCATATTTATAACCACATATTTATAATAAAAAAGTGGGGGAAAAGGGGATTGGACAAATTCTCAGAGGAAAGGGGCTATTGAGCATAGGAGTTAGGGATATAGCCGCTGAGTTAGAATTTCCTAAATCTTAAATGCTGGAGGCTGCAAATGAGAGAGGAATAGTGACCAAAAAAACCCTGGTCACACCTAGTTCACTCTCTCATTCAGCATCCACTCTCTGCCGCTGTGTGACATAGGAGACTGGGCAAGATGGACCTAGGGTCTGACCCAGTACATGGCAGCTCATATATATATGTGTGTGTGTGTGTGTGTGTGATATCTGTGCTATTTATGTGCTATCTGAGATCTAGCTGTCTGTATAGGTGTGTGTGGGTATGAATGTATATTATTTTTCTGTAAAGAAAGAGCCCATAAGCCCTCTGCAATCATGGGGTGAATTACCTTTATGAAGGAAAGCCGGAGGGTGTAGGCTTTTTCCAGCCAAGAGAGCTCCAGTTCTGACTCATTGGTGCCACATTTGCCTTTTATTTCTGCTCCCCGGGAAAGTGGGATATCAGCTTGTTCAGTTATCACCTGCATGCCCAAGCAGCACAAGGCACAGGCTCAAAGGAGGAAATCTGCATTACCCACAGCAGTATAGATCCAGGTGCAGGGGATGGGAGAGCTTCCATGGACTCCAACTAATACATCTTTCTCACTAGTAGCATGCAAAGGGCCAGAACCTATGGTGTCCCACATTTGAAAGTGGTGAGGTTTCCCCTAGGGCTATCTGCTTTGCACTGCTCTAGTTGCATGTGCAAGTATTCCTCCTGCTCCTAACTTTCTAGCACCCCATTCCTTTGGCTCTCAGCAGCTATTGCAGACTAAGTTTCTGCAGGACCAGTGAAGGCTCCTACAAAAACCCACTCCATCTTCCAGTTGTGTGCAAAGGTTTTGCAAAGGACTGCCTGTCATTGCCTTGGCCTAGGAGTGCAAAGCGGGAAGGCAGATCATAGAATCATAGAAAAAGTGAATTGGAAGGGACCTCAGGAGGTCACCTAGTCCAGCCCCCTGTTCCAAGCAGGACCAAACCCAACTAGATCATACCAGCCAGGGCTTTGCTAAGCTGGGTCTTAAAAATCTCCAAGGATGGAGATTCCACCACCTCTGTGGGTAACCTGTTCCAATGCTTTACTACCGTCCTAGTGAAGAAGTTTTCCCCAATATCTAACCTAAACTTCCCCTGCTCCAACTTGAGCCCATTACTCCTTGTTCTGTCATCCGCCACCACTGACAACAGCCTGATTCCATCCCCTTTGCAGCTACCCTTCAGGGAGTTGTAGTCTGCTACCACAAAGACCCAAGAGCGGGGAGAGGGGCGATGCCACCCAGAACCCTGCCCCTGCATAAACCCCCTTCCAAGGCGAGAGAGGGGCCTTACATCCACGTAGTTGGCGTCCCTCACGTAGTAGGGGACGAGGAATTTGGCGGCGAACTCTGCCACGAGGCACGCCTTGCCGTTCTCCTTCACGGCGAAGATGTCCTTCTCGGGGTTGGGGGAGAGGCCCGAGAGGTTTTCCACCTCTTGCTCCGCCACGACCCGGGCGGCTGCCTCTGCGGGACACAACACACACGCGCGCGCGCTCGTGGGCAAGCGGGAGCCCTGCCCGAGACTCCGGCTCCCCGGGCAGCCCCGCTCCCTCCCCAGCTCCAGCCCTCTCCTGGCAGCAGGGGAAGCCCCGGCCGGTCCCCTGCAGGGGGACGGCTCGGTACTCACGCAGAAGCAAGAGCAGTCCCGGGACGGCGGCTCGGTGCCTCCCCTGCATGCTCCCGTGCTCGGAGCGCGGCGGAGCCCAGGTGCCGCGGGAGCAGAAAGCGCCGGGCTCTGTGCTGGCGGGCTGGGAGGCAAGGCTGCCGCGGACTGGCAGCAGGGGAAGCCCCGGCCGGTCCCCTGCAGGGGGACGGCTCGGTACTCACGCAGAAGCAAGAGCAGTCCCGGGACGGCGGCTCGGTGCCTCCCCTGCATGCTCCCGTGCTCGGAGCGCGGCGGAGCCCAGGTGCCGCGGGAGCAGAAAGCGCCGGGCTCTGTGCTGGCGGGCTGGGAGGCAAGGCTGCCGCGGAGTGGGGACCGGGAGCTGTCCGAGGTACCCC